TTTATGAAGCACAGCTCTTCTCCGATGTTATGTGGTTTGCCTTTTTGAGCAATTAACAAAGAGATATTGTACGAAGCTCGAAGTCCGTCGTCATCTTGCTTAGCAGCCACCGAAAAGAGTTTTGCTACACTTGACCGAGTATTATGCTTCGTCTCTAGGTCTTGAAAATAAGCTACATTCTTGTCTTTCTTATCTGGATGCATTTTATTTTAAATGATCTTGCAGTCTTAAAGGCTTCATTGCTTCATTCAAAATTTAGACATAGAGGGCACACAGGCGACGATGGGTTTGTGGGATTTTCAATGAATCCGAATTTAATATATTCCGCACAGTATTTCCGTCTCTTCTTTTTTCTTCCGACATTGTTTTGTTTTGAGAAATACGTAAGTAAATGTTGAACTTAAGTAACCGCAAATGGAAATAAAATAAATATTACGTTGTTTATACAGGATAGGAAATAAGACAAACATGCATAATCTCATTTATCTCATTCGACGCTCAATCGTACTCAACAAGTAAGAACAAGTATTCTATGAACCAGCCGATTGATACAGGAATGCATAAATTGGGTTATTTAACAAAATCTTGTTAAAACATGATTGCCCGCGATGTATTATCTACGAAAATTACCTATCTAGGGATACTAACTATTAAAATGCGAAACTGTGTCTGTTGCCTTTTTATTTGTTTGTTTGTGTCTACTTTCATTCGAAACGGAGCGACCGATTGACATGATTTTTAATTTATTTATTCAATAAAACAGGACAGATATATGAACTACACGGAAAGAAATACCAAACCGAGTTAGTTTGAGCAATCTCTTAATTATTATTAGTTGATGTTCACAAGTTGTAGTCGAGAGTCGAGAGCTCAGTCGATGACTTAGGGTCGTATTCTAGAACTTTACTCAATGCTCAAGTCAGGATTTGAGTATGGTTTAAAGCACTCAAAATCATACTCAAGTTCGTTCCATTAGGGTCGTATTTCCAGTGCTTGTATTTCACTTGCAATCCTGATTTGAGCATTGAGTAGAGTTCTAGAATACGACCCTAAGAGGTTTACACCTCGGTGATTGAATGCCAAGGTGATTCGAAGATATTCACTAAAGCACTAGAAGATGTCTTCAAAACACTAGATTCTAATGGTCTACACTTAAACGTGAACGGACTCTACTCAATACTCAAGTCAGGACTTGAGTATTGCGTGAGCACTGAAAATCATACTCAAGTCGTACATTAGGGTCGTATTTCCAGTGCTTCAAATCATAGGTACTCAAGTCTGCTCAAATCCTGACTTGAGCATTGAGTAGAGTTCTGGAATACGACTCTGGGAGTCTTCCTAGATAAAATTACAAATCTCCCCCTAAGCCTCTACACAACGCCCCCATTCTTTTTCTGGATCTCTTCCCTTTAGGCCTGCAGCGCCCACAAGGGGACGTTATCGCTCACTTTGGGAAAGGCTGGTTTAGAACAATCTATTTAAATATTTTTGTTTTTGTACAAAAGTAAAATCTGATGAATTATTTAAAAGTCATGGGATGGAGTCGAAAGTTGTTGTTTACAATATTAGTAATATAGTGCTGCGAGGTTGATAGTATTTTGACAAATAACCCTGTATATATGTTATACCGTGTATATGTGTGTGATTGTGAATATAAGTATAGAAGTAGGTGCAAATCTGACTTACAATAAACGAATTTTTAGTATGTTTTATTTTAATTACAGTCAATAAAAAAGTGAAAAATCTGGAAGGCCGCGACACGGTGGTACGAAATTAATTAACACATACTTGACAGATTTTTGTAGCCTTTTCTACTGAATGCCATTGAGGTTGATTAGTAACATCCAAAACAAGTCCTTAATTGCTTTATTTAAACGGTGAAGGGGAAACCTGTACGTCTGTATTTAAAAAAAAATAGCGGTACCCAAGAGTCTGCGTCCCATCATATCAATGGCATAGACGATAATGCTTGCCATCGTATTGAAAGGATTTACCAATTGGCGTAAAATAAGTACTCGTAGATTGTAGCCCAGAGTGCGCAAGACGCACAGAACAATAATGAACAATAAATACAGTAAAAGTGCTTAGTTTATGTGACACGTGTGCCAACAGTTCGGGGGGTACCTCAAACTTGAGCTCAGTCCGCCGTTTTCGCTTTGTACGTTATAATCGTGTCAATTATCTCGCGCAAACCCTCGAAAATCGTATAAAAATGCCTATTTCGCTACTTTGGATTTTTAAATTTTCTGTTTATCGTAATCATACACATTCAAACATGCCTATATAATTTGAAGATTTCGCTCTATTTCCATGGGATCCCCTTACCAGATTCTGACTTGGTCACAATGGCATCACATCGAGAGTGTATATACCCTTTCAAACAAGAAAGAATTTTCAAAATCGGTTCACAATTGAAGAAGAAATCGGTGAACTCACTGTACATGCATATATAATTTTAGGATTTTGCTCGATTTCCATGGAATCCCCTCATCAGATTCTGACTTGGTGACAATGGGATCTACAGGTTGATACGGTACAGTATACAGCATCATCATCAACCTATAATAATTCCTCCTGCTGGACACGAGTCTAAGGAGAAGCCATAGTCCGTCATGTTCTGGCCCGATGTGAATTGGAGACTACAGTACAGTATAACATGTTACAAATTACCAATTTCAAAAACAATAATATAACAGTCACACACAAGGTGACATTCGAACTTGTGATATTATGCGAAACGTAGCATTACAAAGGAATATTGTGTTATTATTTTTATAAACACAAGAATCACGGTGACTTATCGAAATAGCTTTATAAACACAAATATCACGATGATGTCACTAGTTTCTCTAGGCGACTACAACGAAGTCAAAGCAGATTATTAAATAATTGTATCGTAGCAGTAGAGCTCCTTGTGAAAGAGTTCAACCATGGAAGTACTGCCAACCTTACCTATTTCTGCCGCCAACCAGTAATGTATGCATTACTGAGTTCCGGTTTTGAAAGGTAATGGTGCTGGTGAAATTATAGGTACAGGGACTTGTCAACTTTATGTCTCAGGGTGACAGCACAGTGGCAGCGTCCTTCAGATCTTTGCGATTTAAAACTCTGAGTGGCACTGTAACTGTTATGGGAAGACCTGTCGCTTACCCACTGACGCATGACTTGTTCGTCCCGTCACTTAATATTAATACTGATTGAAATCGTGTTTCAAATAAATTCACAATTCTTGTACTTTTCACATAAGCCTTTTTTATCCATTAACTTTGTAATCAGTTTCTTGTACAAATTCTGAACGAATTCTTCAATTACAAAAATTAAATTCAATAAATATACTTTAATTCCGTAAAATGAATACGAAAATTTAATTGTGTGTAAAAGTGACTTGAAATAAATTAATTATTATTAATGTTATAAATATATTATAAACACATGGTTATATAAAACTGTAAACGATAGTGAACTCAATATTTAGTTAATATAGTTATTTGTATCTTTAAGTAGTTTAAGATATTCAAGTTACAGAAATTTGTTTTTATTTATACAATAGTAAATTCCCCTCTACCCTTGTTTACAGTGCCCTTGCAAGTTACCATATAATGAAAATTAATATATATTTCTTTATAAACTTTATACAATATTGTATAACAAATTTAATTAAATTAAGTAATAATTAACTGTTTGTATGTTAATGCCCCGTCGTCACACGCGAGTCTTGTTGCGCCACGTGTAACTATTTAATTGTCATTAAACAACGTTGTGCCGACTGTACCGACTGCAACGCTTATGTGTATGTATAAGGTACTAATTTAATTGTGTGGAAATTTCCAATATAAATTACAACAAATGTGCCATTTGGTTTTTTTATTTCAGGAGAATTTGGAGGCGACATTTTAGCTAAAATAATTTCATTTATAACAATCTAATTTGCTTAACAGATAGAGGGTAATAAATAAAATTTTTTGTTAGCTACAGATTCAGATATTTATTTGAGGAACTCGGTGGCCCAATGGTTAGCAGTGTGGTAGCTGGATGAGGAGGTCTCGGATTCGAGTCCCGGTAGGATCAATATGGGAAATTAACTTTTCTAAATTGGTTCTGTATGCTCTGGGTGTCCTGGGTAGTGCCCCGGAGTGAATTCCGTTACTCTTGTGTCCCGGAATGAATTCCGTTGCTCTTGTACACATAGTACAGGGAATTACCCAGTTTGAGACCAAGTTACGGGCGTCGTATTTTAAAAAATGAATAAAAGTTAGAACGTTATTTATCTATCTATCTAAAAATTAAGTTATAAAAGTTAAGGGCGGGGTTAATTTGGGACAGACGGGAGGTTATTTTATTATCTCGTAGGCAGTAAATCTAAACTCTTTACTTTCCCATAGCGATGTAGAAACGGATAACATAACACTTCAAGCTATATAAATGGTTACTTTTATATATGCCATGTTAATAACGTAATCACTGTAAAAATCAGAATATTCCAAGCTATCAAACCTTCAACAAAAGTCAATCTTATCTCTATGAGCTTAAGTTGCACTTGCAATAAGTGTTCATAATGTATATTGAGTTGTTAAATAGAGATACTCACCTCATATCGGGCGAGTAGTCGAGGCTGCACGCGTAGCCGGCGACCATGTGCCCTGTGAATGTCTTCTTGCGATTCATCTTGAATCTGTTCAAGGCGCTAAACACCAATACCTGTCAAACAAGCGCTTTGTGTTACCTTTAAACAAAAATTATAACGCATACACTCAACATAGCCCCGCACTAGGCAAACCCTGTGTCGCGAATGCCATGGACACACACATAGACATATGCAAGAGAGGTGAAGTATGAAAAATGGGATACTTCTCAACACCTATGCCTTCAATTTCTAAGTATAATTAATTATTTTTAGTAGCATGAGATGTTGCCGTGAATTAAATCGTATTAAATCGCGATTTAGAATATTTCTTGTAAGATCAGCATTAACAAATTTAGTCTTGTTATAACATCTAAGAGGAGGGAACTAGCCCGGCAGTTCAGTACGGCTATGACAGGGCGCGACTTGCGCAACAGCGACATAAAGCGCGAGATCTCTATGCGATAATAGCATTATTTCGCGCTTAATGTCGCTCTCGCGCTATGCTAGTCGCACCTTGTCGTGCTAGCCCTACAGGCGGTATAAATTCTGTGGGTGAGATATCAGGAGTTTGCAGGTAAGTTTACACAGTGTGTATTTGTTGTTATGACAACCAGAAGATAGAGTTGATACTCAATGAAGCAGTAAATAGATTTAGAATGTAACCCACCTTTTGTACAGAGGTATAAGGGGGGCAACATGGGGTGGCAGATGAATGGCTGTAGGGGTGTGTGTGGAGGTTCATCATAGGGATCAGACATCCCATTCGTTATGATCCAGATAATCGATGTGAAGTTGAGGACTTATCAGGGCAATTATAATAAGTCCAAAGAAGTAGAATGAAGTTAGTTAGCATATAAGAAAAATTTACACTAAATTGCTGTGATAAGAAAGAATGTCGCAATATTAATATACATTATGATAGGACCTTAGCCGTGGAGACAAATGTTTAAAACCTCTCCCTGACAGCTTACATCCTCTTATTAGAGGAGATCCGTACCCAGCAGGGGACGTATTGTAGTTGATGATGATGACGATGCAGTATGGGAAGCTGAATAATTTTTGTCAACTTTTTGTCTTTAGGTGTAAAGTTGTTTGTTTTAACGATAAAGAAGATAAGAAACTTGTGTGTAGATTGAAAACAAGCCATTATATCGACGTGGAGTGATGCAATCACGTAACCACTACTAACTGTCAGTAAAGATTATATAAAAATACAACACAGTATTAACATACACTGTTTTGATAAATTAAATTGAGTTTATAAAACTCGTATGGGATTTACTGTATGTTCGTGTTGTAGAAATTATATCTTTAAGAGCAGCACAGTGAAAGTATAAATATCAAGGCACCTTATGTAGGGCCTTTACTCATAGCATCGGCATACAAAATCTTAAACAGTTGTGACGGTGTGACCTCCTTACACAGTCATCTCACCTTTTTGTATTGTATCATTTTTTCCTTTGAATTTTAAATTTGAATTGTTCCATCTTCCATCACTTCCTCATTTTTGCTTCGTACCACGGTCACTCTCTGCTTGACCGCGATAGCGGACAGAACTACTAAATCAAATTGTCTAATTTTTTTTTCTTTTCAAGTTTAATCATAATACAATCAATGTAAATCATGTATCGACCATAATGAGCGAATAACAGTCTATCCAATATCTGTAATTCAACATAATAAAACCCGATAAGGGGTAAGTGCCTAAATCTAACATTTACCATTTTTAGGTTAAGTTAGGGAGTGTTTTTTTATTAATGTACTGTTTTCTACATCTACCTTTTATTTGTTACAGTTTTTTTACTTTACCTTTTACTTCATGTTAAATAAATTTGTGGACCGGAAATTTCCTGTTTTACTGCCGTGATCCTGATCACGGTTGTTAGGGTTACAACCCTTTCACGGTTATTAAATAAATAAAAAGACATTTCGACCCTTCCTACGTAAAGTATCGTATGTCGAAATCGCCAAGTTTACAGGGGTGCGTTTTAGAGTTCTGAATTCACTGAAATGAGCGTGAAGCATAAGTCGATTTATTTATCCACAAAACACATAAACCATAATAAAGTGAACAATTAAAACAAAAAACAGTAAAGTGTACAAAAAGGACGAAGACTCAGCATTGCTCATTTTCAGTCTTCACCTGTAGCTATTTGCTTGCTGCATCAGACCAACAAGCGGAGTGTATACTAATATACAAGTATTAATTATTTTCATATAAATTTAAATTTTTATTTTTTTAACTTATCCAGTTAAAAAGAATACTTTTATACATAAATACCAAATAAATACATAATTACCAAATTACTCAAGCACAATACGCAACAATATAGCTGTACAAGCGCATTGTAAATTTCTCAAATATATGAATTAATATTATTATTTTTATTTCCTAGTTGTAGAAATAGTATTGTATGCCATTGCACGTAATCGAATATTGCACCGCGCGTGATCTATTGCATATATTAAAACTGTATAGCTTGATAAAATTACACCAGCTACTTATTAAATATATAATGATTCATTTAACATCAATAAAACAATTACGGTCCTCTAAGCAAATTTTAACTTATCTTAGTTTTTACCTACTTTACACAAATGAAGCGCGTCTCATCAGCCATTTTGTTTTATACTTATGAAACATTTAGTTTTAGTTCGGTCGTTTAGGAAATATTCATGATTCAATTTTAGTGTTGTTTTGCTCATTCATTTTATTAATTACGTAGTTCATTTGTTTTGTTAATTTATTTTGTTTTTTCGTGGCAGACATATTACCACTTTTAGGTTTGGCAACTCGAATTGGATTCTGAAAGTGACGGTTCTAGGGGTCTACTCTCGACCTCCGTCCGACATCCGTCCGAAACAATTACTGTCAAATAAGAATATTCGACAAAATAAAAAGACAAGTATCCAGTATGAAGCTTCATTCGCATCACGCGTCTTTTCATTTGGTCAAGTATTGCTTAATTGGCAGTAATTGTTTCGGACGGATGTCAGACGGAGATCGAGAGTAGACCCCCCTGCATAGTATTTATATTATTGTTTTTTTTATTATATATTCTTGGAAAAAATAATTATCAAAATATTTAAAAGTTTACAATCCTCCAGGTCATCTGGTCTACCATATACGCTAACGATGAGGCTGTCGCACGTTTCTGGGAACACTGGAAATCATCGTTTTCACAAATATCGTATACTGTGGCTGGAAGGAGTGAATGATCGCTATTGACATGCTACAATGCACGTAGATAGGTATCAATTAAATTTAAGTACAATCGATAACAGTAAATAGCGACACGAGCGGCAGTGATGAAGAAAACATTCGATTGGAAAAGCGCTAAACGTCCAATGTACAAAATATAATTAGGTACATGCTTCAGACCCAAGCAGGTATGAAAAATGTATATCTCTAAATACCCTTTGGTCATACATAGCGTTAAATTTAAATAAGAATGGGCGTTTTTCTTATGCCCTGCACTAGGGAAACCCTGCGTTTACGTGATCAGATGAATAATATTGTCTGGGTCTGAAACACTTCACGTATTATGTACATTTTGATGTACACTTAGAAAGTTGTGCCTGTTACCTTAGTTGTGTGTTGTTACCTTGTTGTCCATGGATTGGCAGGCGAGCCACTTGCCGTTGGGCGACACGGTGACAGCGGGCAGCGAGTGCATCGTCGGATCAGCAATATATTTCATGTCCACTGGGATGTCCCTGGTACACAAATCATATGCTATACATAATTGTAACAATTATAATTTTTTACAAAAAAAAGGCCTCAAAAATTATATCTATTTGCCAAGTAAAACGTATAAAGATGTATAAATGTTCAATCTCTCGGCAACATTATGTAGGTATGGTTTTAATATGATATAAATATAATTTGGAAATGTAATTTGAAAAGATAATTTAATCATGTAATTTTAGAAAACCAATGATATTCTAAATTGTTAGGATGATATAAGATAAACGTAGATTTAGTATAAAATTTCTTTTTAAAAATGTATATTGCAACACCCTAATATGTTTGTATAAGTTTGTATGTACTATATTCATGGTATATATATGAATACGGTTAATTGTATTTGAACTTATTTATTTATTGCAAATAAACAAGTTCAAATACAATTAACCGTATTCATCCCCTAATTGGCCACCCTTAGAGGAGGAATACTTTCTTCAAATTTCATGGGATCACTACTGATCTCTTTCCAATAAAAAAAAGAATCATCGAGATTGGTTCACAAATGTTGACGTGATCGCGTAACATACACACTCCTGCTTTTTTGAAGTCAGTTAAAAAGGAGTCATATTCTACCCGATTACCGTACAAATAACAATCAAACCCGTTTAATGGTCGCAAAAAAACGTTTCCGTTTCCCGTACAAATTTCAGATTGACTGAAAAATCATTTTGGGATACGGGATACCGTATATTTTAAAAGGAATAAAAATATGTGATAGTTTAAACGTTACGGTTAGCAGACTGTTTGCTACATCTACTTTAATAGAACTATTGTTACCAAGAATCGTGTCAGTTTGTGTTCACATTTTTTCTACTAGATTATCTACCGTATGGGTCACGTGTGGATTTTAATGGGTGTTGCGAACGCCTGAAACACAAACCGCGAAAAGTAAAAAAAAAACATTCGCGTTAGACGAAAATGTCGCTGGTTCAAGTCCAGCTCCAGATCGAAGGAATTTTGTCTTTGAGTTAGTTCGGTCTTCATGTCAAATATAACAACAAACTAGTCACAAAATATATCTAAATAAAAATTGCAATTAATAAAGCGACATGTCTTGTCAGCCGCAGGTAGCTGTAAAGTAGGTACAGAGCTGGGTGAACAAAAAACTTTTTTAGTTATCTCAAAGGTTACTAGGCGCTACGGCTAAAAAGCCAATAAAAACAAAGTCTGCAGTAAGCAGATATAGATAGTCGTAATGTCTGTTGGCTCGTTCCACAGCTCAGTTGGGAGAACGAGAGCCCGCGTTAGGCGAAAATGACGCTGGTTCAAATCCAGACAGATCGAAGGAATTTTTCTACGACTTTGTTCTATTTTTGTATCAATTAGTAAAAAAATTTAAGGCAAATATTTCGTACTGTACCATTCCCACACCCTCAAGCTCTTGTCGTCGGAGGTTGTGACGAAGCGTCGGTTGTCGTCGACGAACGTGATAGTGTTCACGGCGCCTAAATGGCGGTCGTATTCTTGCACTATCTCGCCGCTCCGGATGTCCCACTGAACAGAACAATGGCAATAATCGTTTGTGTAGTATATAACCATAGAAATCAAAACAAAGAAGGATTATCAGTGTTGCAAGGCCCTTGAGTTGAACATTACGTTTTGTTACGCTATAAAACAATTAAGCTTTAATTAGTCATTGTTAGATATCATTTTGTTTGCTCCATCTCTGCGTTCGTTATCATCTAATTTGGAGTAAAGTATGTAGGATTTCCAATTACAAATACGGTTGAATTAAAAAAAAACTTCGTTCTCAAAGTTACCAAAATTGCTTAACATAAAGTTACAGAATTAGCTAAAACAGGCATTTTTAAGGAGTTACTGAAGTCGGTCTTCTGGACAACACAATCTTTGAAAATTTGACTGTAAGCTGTCAGAAATTCTATGACTTACGTCATACAGAGTGTAATGAAAAAATTAGACCACATTACAGTACTCATAATGAGAAACGCCTTTAGCAAAAACAAGTTTAAAGCGACATATCTTTTGGTGAACGTGATCGATCAATCGATCAAGTGTCACTATAAAGAGGATGCTTACACAAATTATTTTCTTATCGGAAGTGCCAGCAACAAAGAGATGCTGTTTATCTTCGTCGGGATGGAACTTAGCGCAGTATGGCACTTTGCGCGATGTAAAGCGCGACACGCACTCGCCGGTCTCGGTGTCCCACAGTTTGATGTAGCGGTCGTACGCTGAACAACGAACAAATGCAGATTTTACAGGCTGTCCCATAAAGGGCCGACCGTGCATAAATTAAAATAAGAATCTGTGAAAACATTCACTAATATAAATGGCCATTAACATACTCATACAGAGATAAAAGAGAGGTTTGACTCTGAAATAATTTTGATTTTTATTGAACATTATGATAAAATAAAATGAATATCATTTTATTTTTTGTGAAATTTCCCCACTAGTTCGTCATAATTATTAATACACATTTCGACATACGATACTTTACGTAGGAGAGGTCGTCATGTGCATGAGAATACGCGTATAATTTTTGTTCCTCATACAAAAGCGATTGACCATCAAATGCTTAGGTTTCTGTTTAAAGGCTATCTGTTTGCTTAAATTGTCTGAAAGCATCACTGGCAGAAGTTTTTTGTTTTCCATTACAGATACAGCAAGTTGTAGTCAATATTAAATAATATAATAAATCTACACACGATACAAAAACGCTAAGTGATAACAATTTACCAGCAGAGAGGAACTGTTTGCCAGAGTTATTGAAATTGATATCTCTGACTGCTTGCCGGTGGCCGAAGTACGTTCTTATGCATCGACGGTCACCATACACTTCCCATATCTGAAATAGGCATTAAAATAGATCATGATTTTTATACTTTTACTTGCATTTACACGCAATCTGATAGATTGTGTTTTATGTTAATTAATTGAAGCTATAAAGATCAATAACTTGCAAAGAAACACTTTTATAGGGTTTCATAAAATAATGCACAGCAATAACGATGGAACATTTACAGGAGTCATTATAAATTTGGTAAATTAAACTTTTTGACAGTAGAGACTGAGAAAAATGGAAGTAATAGTCATAATTACCTTAACCCTGCAATCCATGCCGGCAGAGAGGAAAAGATGCGCTGTCTGTGGGAACCAGCGCACGGCGGCCACGCCCTTTGTGTGGCCTTTCCATGTGTAGATGTGAGCCTGGATGTGCGTGATCATAAGTACATAAATTCTTTATTTAATATTTTAAATTTTTTTTAAATAAAATAAAGAAATATTAATTGTAATTAAATTCAATTCTGTCTATATTTAAAAGTACAAGAACCAAATCAATACTTCGCCAGAGGCACTGGCCCTCATCAATGTAAACGTTCCTCGTGGAGTGCCTAGGGTCCCCATTGCCAAATAATTTGTGTTGTCTAATAGCCGAACTAATCTCAGAAGGTCCCTTTGAATTGACTCATGCAGTCATACAAAGACTGACTGTGACCCGAGACAGTGACATAGACATTTTTCATGTAGGGAACACTAAACAGTTTATTCACATGTGCAAGCAATTGTTTCATCCTTAAATCCTTTATAATCAATTATTGCTGTAATTTGAAATTCTTAATTTTTTTTATTATTATTTTATTTTATTATTTTAGACTATTCTTTGCATCATATTGGCTAACTCTACATTTTTACACCTTAGCACCTTGTATAATGAATGTATGTATATTTATTACTAAGATTGTTTTGTCTTAAATTGATGATGGATATATAAATAAATGTTTACAATAGATTGTGGATTTTAAATAGCATTGAAATCTAGACTACACAGGACTTATATAGTAAAAACGTTATTTTACCATACAACAATTACGATGATTACCTAATAATAGTTCTGCTCTACTGTGTCTAACCAAAACATTTCATGTATAGTGTTTTGTAATTTCATAACATTTTCCAATACATATAGCTTATTTTACAAAGTCAAGTATAGCTAGATAGATATCTTTAATATCTAATGTATAACGTTAGTTAAATGTATCTCTTATGTTGTTATAACTTGAAAAAATGAGAAAACATTTATGGCAGCATTTTCTTTCAAAATGTTGCTTTTGATATTTCTGTGGTTTGACAGGGTAATGCTCCGCTTTACTTTGTTATCGAGTTCTTAGGTTTTCGCGATTGTTACACATAGGAAATGAAGCTATTTTTCCGGATTTAAATCGCGTATATTTGTTTTTTCAAACAAACTGACGTTTCGGGCCCTTTACAGGTCCCATGGTCACGGTTGACTGAGGTGGTACAGTCTTCAATCGGGTTGAAATAAGAAATAGTATCATTTCCTAAATTAGTTGTTTATTGCAAATATTAGAATAACTAATTTCTTTTACTACATAAACACAAACGTAAAGTCAACATTACCACCATGTATGCCACCATTTCCCAGTAAAAAGTACTGGTCAACAAATAACGTAAGTTTCAAACCGAAAATTGTGGCTCCCAAAAGAATATGTGTAGAAATATGAACCTTGGGCAGGAAGCACTTGTCAGGCGGCATGTCACTGCGCAGCTGCGTTTCCGTGCGCGGAGCCTCCACCCATGATCGCCCTTGATAGTCAGTTGCTTGATCAACTGGAAGCACAAAGAAAATTACATTTTACATAATTATAACTTAATCGTTTAAGTTAACTTAACCTAGTTAGGTTAGATACAATTAAATAACTTTCATAATTCTGATTTTGAATAAGTTTATGCATTAAAATAGTTTTCAAAATTGGTACATTGATTGCAAATATTTTACAATACGTACTGTGGAATATAGATTTCTCTTCCAATGGTTTCTCATCATCCACCTTGCCTTTCTTCTGTCTCTTTGCTACTATCTCCTCTAATTCCTTTGCCTCTTCACCTTCCGGCTTCATTATCCTGAAAAATAGTACATTTGGAATTATCATTTGCTACCAATTTGTAGATGTTTTGAAAGATTCTGGATTGTTGAAGCGTTATATTTCTTGGGAAAAATGAGTCTTTGTTTGTGCATGTTAGTTAACTTTTAACTATACCATAAGTAAATAGTTTTTTAATGTGAAATAGATGCTCATACCCAATCTCACCTGACATTGACAATATGGCCAAAATTACGTGCATTTTTCCAATAAATGACTATTTATTAAAAAAATCAATAAGGTCTCTAGTTAATTACTGGTAAAGCAATGTATTTATAGATGAGAGTTAAGCAGTAAAATAATTATTGTTACCTTTTTTCCCCTTCAAACCCTCCCCAAGGCCCCAAAAAACCGGTAATATCTTCTGGGTTGTCATTTTTATTCCTCTTTCTTTTATCAAGCGGTCTCTTCTTTATACTCTCAAATACTGATTTTCCCTGTGCCTCTTCTGGGGCAGCTACCATTGCTGATACTAACATATCCACAATTTATATAAATAAATTATTATTAGCATATATCATAAGTACTAAAATTATTATCATTCATCTAAACTGAAAAACCACAATGAAAATAAACAACAATCCGTTCATACTGTCTACATATAATGACAGAAACAAAAAAGACACGTTACAACAAAACATTAAAGCAACAGTGCCACTCCAACATAATAAGTATTATTCAACACAAAATTGTTACAATAATGTTGAAGAAATGTAACAAAAGACTCAAAAGCTAAAAATTTTACTACACTATATTAAATATTCTTAATATGTGGATGAAATGGTTATTTGTATAAACAAAATAGGTATTAAAGTCAAAAAGAGTTATCGAAACATACCAACTATACTATCAGCCGCCTCTTCATTATTTGTAGATGGATCTACAGCATACCCATAACTTGTGAATGTACGTCTTTGGTTCTCAAACTGGAAATCACTTATGTGAGCCTTCTCTACATAACCTGATAAAATATTTCGATTTGCTCTCATTTGCTGCGTTTGAAATGGATTTTCCGGCCCATATGTGGGAGCAAAAAGTTCCTCATATTTTGGATTATGTGTTAATTCTTCATTATTAGGTATTAAAACCCTTGTATCGTCATTGTTCTGAAATAGATAAAAATAGAAGTTGTCTTAGTTTCCCGCCGAAATTAGTCACACTAGACTCAAATTACGGTCTCAAACGTATATTACCACTACAGAAAAACTAGAGAGCTTGAAATGCAAAAAATGCACCTGCTATACGTCTTGAATCAAACATAACGCAAAAATTTTAAGGTTACAAAATGTAAGCATAAAATAAAAAACGCACTGTCGGCATAACGATTGGAGCAGCACATATTTGTATCTTCTTGCCTACAGAGAGTTCAGGATCAACAGGTTTTAGGTGAGTCAACAAGGATTCGTTGCTGTGTTGTTTTGCGTTTTCGGTGTTACTGTCTCCTTCGTCCTCGGAGCTACTGCCGTAGTTCTGAATACTTAACATGTTTTGGCTACTTATTTCAATAGTTATTCACTTTATTATCTTATTATTTTACTTAAATTAAGGAAATTGAGTGAAAACACAGCTATATTTTACACGATTTACTAAATAAGTCTTAAAAATGACATATACGTTGACACTCTTATATTAGTAGTTTGTGGTTGACACACTGTTATGTTATGACATCTATTTTTTTAGGGAAAACTAAAACGGCCCATTCACTGACTACCTGTATGGCAGTCCGCTTCGCAGGCAGGAAACTGAACATACACTATTCTGCGTATGGCCCACGTATGAAGTTTCGCAGGACGCATTGCAGGCTTGCACGCTGCGTTTATAATTCTGCATTACACGGCAGGTGGTAAGGCGGACTGCAATGCAGGATAGTAAATGCCCCCTATAAAACTTTATCTACCTCACATAATAGTAACAATTTTGACAATAACGGGTTCAACGTACTAGATATATAGATAGAATAATAACGCATAGAACATAGAATGATAGTTTCATATCAAACGAACTGTCACAAGTGAGGCAAAAACAAATTCATGTAGGCTTAGTTTTAGTAGTAGGTTAATTTTCGGTTTTAGTGAATATTTATATAAAAATACAAGTTGAAACGCGTTACTTCCTTGTGGAATAATAATGTTAGTATATTTTATGTTTGTCTGACGTATTGTTACACTCATTTACCGCACATTTCGTCATTTTTAGCTAAAATTCTGGAGCTGTTCGCGGTGCAAGTTGACCTTGAGCACTGAAGGCCTGCCCGCTCGTGTAGGCCCTTTTGGCGCGCTTCAATTTGCCTCACTTAGCGTGTGCGGGCTAGGTTTCTATGCGTTATTATTCTAAGTATATATATACCACATCGTAATATACGCTCTTTGTTTTTCCATGTTGTGAAACCATTTTTAAGCCACGTTTTTCTTAAATGTGTGAATTATAAAATAAGCTTGTTTATATAAAACTATAAGTTTATTTTATAATTCACACTAAATAAAACTTTAAAAGATATTTCTAAACGTAGAACATAATATGAGCCTTCCAAATTATATTTTTTCTAATTTTTCCTGTAAAATTTCCACTATTTGTAATTTTTCGGAAAATTACCCATCAGTAGTTCATTATTAGTGCAAAGGAATAAAAAAAGGTCATGATTTCTGTACAGCATGTTCGTTCCAAACAATTTAATGAATTTTATTCGTTTCAATCATAGACTCATATTAATTATTTTGCTTTATATCGATGACAACAACTGCTACCAACATAATACACAAAAATTCAATAGGTCAGGTGACGAGCCCTTGTGATAGGTAGTCTTATTTCAAAATAATCACATAAATCAACTAAAAACCACCCAAAAATGGCTTTGCACGCCGCAGTAAAGGGAAAACTGATCAGCGTCATTGGAGATGAGGTAAAATTTGTCACTTTAATGTCGTAATTTCGCGATATGTCGTTCTATTTGTCGAAAATGTAAACAATGATATTTTGCTAAGTTTCACTTATTATTTTTTTCAATAAAAGGTAAATCCAATTTCAGGACACTTGCGTTGGTTTCTTGTTGGGTGGTATTGGTGAAATCAACAAGAACAGACACCCCAATTTCATGGTCGTTGACAAAAGTGAGTACCTCAAAAACTCAAGTTTGTGTTTATACTCCTACCCCGTCTCTAAGCGCTTTGAAATAAAGTTTTTACTATAGATGTCATCGAAGGCTCAATACCAGCAATTATATTTAAATAAAGTCACATCTGCATGACCCAATACATGATTTACATTCCAGACACACCAGTAAGTGAAATAGAAGACTGTTTCAAGCGGTTTGTGAAGCGCGATGACATCGACATCATTCTGATCAACCAAAATGTGGCAGAATTGATCCGACATGTGATTGATGCACATACCTCACCAGTTCCGGCTGTTCTTGAGATTCCATCTAAAGATCATCCATATGACGCTAGCAAGGACTCTATTCTACGTCGTGCTAAGGTACGATATTTATATGCAAATTAAATATTACACAACTATCCTCGTAAAAAGTATCCTCCTGAGCATGTTAACTCTCCCTGTCTTGTGCCACTACATCCAACGCATGAAAAATTCTCACAAAATCAATATATTGTTGAGATTTTCTATCCTTATGATAAAGAATCTTGATGCATATATTCCTATTTGCTGTAAATGTGAATAAATTAATATTTTTACAAGTGTTTTAAAAATAACCCTGAGTAACTTATTGTAAACTTATTGTAAATAGTCAACATCACATACATTGCTCTGATCCCAAAATAAGTAACTAGAACACTTGTGTTATGGAAATCTGAAACAATGCTGGTACCACAATCATCGTGTTAGTTTAGTTAATATTCTTGTAAGCTCCTGTAGTCAATAAAATATGGCACATTTTCTAAACCTATATTCCTCATCAAGATAGTGGAAAACAATGAGTTCATTATTAATAATTTATGAAAGTATTATTTTATTGTATTTCATTTAAATTCAAAAATACCTCAAACAAACAATACCTACACATTAAACACTGTATGTATGTTACTAAATGTTACAGTAGCAATAAGCTGATCTGACTTGTCTTATTTAAAAATTCTAACTTGATTTCTATATTTTTCAGGGCATGTTCAACCCGGAGGACCTGGTACGCTAAAGCTAAATTATTGCACGCAATCTTTGTACGGACTTGCATTGTAAATACACCAAAAAGTCTTAACTAACATATTACAATATGTGTTCCATTTGACAATAGTTAATATTTTTTATTAGGAATTTGTTTTAGAGTGATTTAAAAAATATCTGTACTGTTTTTAATTGTATGACTGCTATTTACTATACTTCGTTTTAATCCATTTTTAACAAAAAGTAATGACCGTAGACGGTTTAGTGATGGCCAATTGTAATGCCAACTACAAATCGATTAATTAATTTAATGAATTGCAATTGAGTCATAATTGTGGTTTTCCTTACCTATATAACCTATATAAGCATATTTAAAATTTCCGAAATCTTAATTTTAAATCCTCCTTCAAATCCCTACACTTAGATACTCGTTCGATTATGATCAAAATATTCGATTTACTCATCGATTACAAAAACTTTAATTGAATGAACCAAATTTTTTTTTCATACAGCACTATGCAATCATAGGCAAGTCATAGTTGTATAGTTGAAAAATAACCTCACTTTTGGACTACCATTTTTCAAATACAATTTTATGATGCTATTCAAATAAACATTGTTGGAAAAACTGATGAGATATCAAGTCGAGATATACGTGAAAGTGTTACTTACTCGATTCATTGAGTGGTTGCTGTGAACCAAACAGTTTTGTTTACTTTTTGTTCAAAATGGATTGGACCAGACTGCAACATTTTGATGATTCAAAATTCGATAACCAGAACATTTCATTGAACATATGTACAATGGCATGCCTCAAATTCTATTCTATGCCACTTACAATAGAAATGGCCCAAAATGTTGTAAAGCCCTGCATGCTGTTGACTTAAAAATAATAAGGTTTATTTGTCTATTTACATATTGTGTGTATCTTCATAGAGCATAGAGCATTTAAAGTCTTAGGTCCTACTTATTACTATATTACTTGGGAAATTTAATTAGATAATTGATATAAATCAATTTACAGGATTAATTCAATCAAATGGAACACTACTATCTCATATCCCTATGTATGTCTTTTGTGTGCAATTTGAAACTAAAGCCATAACATTCCATGATTAAAAATATATTTCCATAAACTATAACCAATTATAGAAGCTATCAAGAAAGATTTAAATTATTAAACTGTTTAATAATTATAGTACAACACTGTTGATCTTGTATAGACTTGTTAAAATTGTATTTATAGTGTAATAAATTGAAATAGAATAACATTTTATGTGAAATATCGTCCATGTGATTTGTTTTATTTTTTACCTAACTTGGCATGTACTAATGATTTCTGTGATTTTGATTTTTTTCTATATTCGAAAATTAATTTTTAAGGAGACAATTAACAATTAATCCATTTATAAGAATTTGAATATTGTTTTCAGATAATTATGTCAAATGTGTGTTTGCGTTTTACTAATTTGCACAGGAAGTGTTTTATGATATTTGTGTTTTTTTTGAAAAGGTAAGATTTTTGTTTATTCTCCTTTTTGTCTACTTGTGTTGGTATTTAACTTTTACTTTATTTGCTTTCAGTCTGTGTGTGGGTCGGACAACTACACTACATAAATTCATAATATAAAGTCGTTGAAGTACTCTTTATGCTCATTGCATTACTGTATGGTACCTGTTATTTGTATATGTTCATTAGTTATGCGAATCTTTATATATGTATATATTTTTAGTGTAATAATATAAATATACGACATGGTTAATTGTATAGTCAGTTTTTTATTTGTGTATTTAATCTGGATGTTATTTATTTAACACTTTTACATACAATTTTCCCATTGTAAATTCACCTATGTATTTTTTCATATAAATAAGAAATTTAATATAGATAACTAACTTTCATATAGTTAAGGCTGGAACAGGCGCCAGATTGCGAATTAGACTCTATTTAAATTAAATTCCTGATAATAATAATAGTCCAATAATCACAAAACAAAATATGATTGCTAGTAGTTCTTAAATAATTGAGTGTATTGAGCAAAACTACAATTTCTTAAGCTTTTTTTGACCGACTTCAAAAAGGAGGAGGTTCTCAATTCGACTGCATGTTCTTTTTTTTCTTTTTCTTTGTATGTATGTTACGCGATAACTCCGGTATTTGTGAACCGATTTTCATGATTCTTTTTTTTTGTTGGAAAGGGGGTACTTCCATAGTGGTCTCGTTGCATTTTGAAGAAAATCATCCAGCTGTTCACGCATGAAGATTCATTTTTATAAATAGCGCCTAAATTTTACTTAAGGAGTAATTATTTTAATAGTTGATTTTACTATTTCTCCAATTCAAGGCGTTTTTCTCTCAGTATAATTTGAGTACTGAGAACCGATATTTGTTATCTCCAGTGTCAAGTCGTGTACAGTGGCGAATTTAAGATATTTCAATAAAACTTATCAAATAGACGTGATTCCACGTACTTTTGAGGTCGGTTTTTTTAGTACTCTGTACTGAGATTATTTTAGATTTTATAAATTAGATATTTCGTTATATTTACATTGCATCTTTTTTAATAAATACCAAAGACTACATAATATAGATATGCCGCAATAAAAAAGAAATCTAAGGTGAAGTGTGGAATTTGTACATTATACATGCAAATAACATGGCACTGGATGAGAAGGTTTAGGTGTTCTGGGACAGAAGGCTTAGGTGTTCTGGGTAGTGCCGCGGAGTGAATTCCGTTGCCGTTAGTCTCGGGTTTGATTACAGTTAGAACAATTTTTTAAATGAACTTGGGTCTGGTGTGGGTTTCTGGTAATGCCTATGTTTAGATTCAGTTTCTCTGGTACTCATAAGGAGTACAGGGAGTTCCCTAGTTTGAAACCAGGTGGTTGGCAACAGAACAGACAAAAGTACATTTCCCAAATTGATTCTACCGGGACCATGAGCTATGGAATACACTACGCGGTATTACCCAGAACACCTAGTAGCAAAAAACTACCCACAACGCCTAGGCCAAAACCATTTTAGAAAAGTTCATTTCCAAATTGGTTCTACCGGGAATCGAACCCGGGACCAAGAGTTACGGAATACACTCCGCGTTACTATCCAGAACACCTAGACCAAAACCATTTTAGAAAATGTCCATTTCCGAAACTGGTTCTACCGGAAATCAAACCCAGGACCAAGAGCTACGGAGTTCACTCATCGACACTTTCCAGAACACCTAGGCCAAAACCATTTTGAAAAAGTTCATTCCCCTAATTGGCACTGCCGGAAATCGAACCCGGAACCTCTGTGTGAACTGTGGCGACAGTTTGCACTGTCGGCACTGCATGAGAAGGTCGTGTTGTTGGGCCACCAAGATCATCGTATTTGGACTGTTATGTACTTGTATATTATTTTTATGTAAAATCTACAAATCGCTTAAAACAGGACCACACACACGGCATATTGCCGTGAGAAGAAATGCTCACTTTATTTAACACATTTGAAGTTCTATATTGTATTGCTATTTCCAAAGTTCGCCCTAAGCAGTCCGATGTCGCTCAGCCTATGTTTGCCTTTTAAAGAAATATAGGTACCATATTATTGAAAAGCCTAATTACACTTTGTAGTGCCCATGGCGGCACAAGCTGGTGATGTAAGGCTGCTCCGCGCTGCACCGCGGGACACAGAGAAATATCCACTTTATTTATTAGAAATGAAACTATAATACTGCCAAACCCCGGACAATCCATACAACGGTCGAAAATTATTTACCTACTACTACTACGTACAGCAAGGCGCTATCTGCACACGCTAAAATGTGTGCGTGAAGTGGCAGGGTTATCCATCACTTTCTCGTACTATTGCGTTACGTGGTCAGAGCGGCAACACAGTGAAAATTCTAACGCGAATCTGTTATCTATGATTCTATTAATAGAATCCTAATAATCGTCGCTTAAATGCTAAACCGCCGCATCACAAAAAAATTCAAAATGTTATTATTGCAAAAATGTGTTTAAAAACGGTCAAACTTTAATACTACACGAAGATACCTAGCGATTTGGCATTATAAACAAAGGAATTATCTACGCAAATGCCTGTTTCGCATTCTGCGCTTTCGTGGCTAACTTTTGAGCTAAACTGTCCTGTTCTTAGGTTTTCGCGATTGTTACACATAGGAAATGAAACTATTTTTCCGGATTTAAATCGCGTAAATTTGTTTTTTCAAACAAACCGAACGTTTCGGGCCCTTTACAGGTCCCATGGTCACGGTTGACTGGTCAATCACTACCTACGTAATAACTATATAATAACGGCAATACGTATAGAAAATTCGCGAAGTCATGGCGTCTCATTATATTGTTATAATAAATCTGTATTTTTTATACGTACATATATTACTCTGTAGTAAATAAATGAAGAAAACAATAAGTGAATGAGTCTCAGACATACGCTTTTTTTACTTACTTCGTTTCATCTTTCGGAAAATGATGATAAACAGCCGTACACAGCACAATTCACGACCATTATAAATAGTAACGTAAAATGACGTTTTATATTAATGTACAAGTTTCGTAATGAATAAATGAAAACTATACTCAAATATCAAAGCCGTCTTCGCGCGAAAACGACTCGCCGGCAGCGTTGTTGTCGTTCAGTCAATGTGACCGGCAATGTGCCGGGCGTGGTGTGGTATCTAAAGCTAGAGACGGGCGGAGAGTGTCTGTTTTTCTGTCTGTCTGTCTGAGTGTCTGTTGTCTGAAAGAATAAGTCTTTATTCTATGATACTGCATTACATTCACTACGCAGTGTGCCGTTTTTTCTGCCCACCGCCGCTTGCTGCAGTTTTCTTTTAAAGAAAATAGAAAACAAAGCAAAATAATGCCACATGGATCAGTGTCCAAAAAATAGCACAAATATTTACCTCGTGACGACGAATCCATGCTTCAACCAGAAAATAATACTCCAACTTCAATAAGACCTACTTGTTCTCGCTATTTTGATTTTGACGCTTTTTATTATTAACATCTTAGTTAATAAAGTACCTATTTTAATATACATTTATTTAACCTCGCGCAAAATACGTATCATTATGTACTTGTTATTGTTGGCATTTCCATCGGTTAAAAACAAATTAGTCGTAGTGGTCGTAATCACTTTTATTTCTTTTTGTTATTAGTTTAATTGTTTATTTACGTATTGTATACAACAAATTTAATAATACATAAAAGTTATACTTTTATTTACGCTGTTACGATTTTGACCCTAAAATATTATGTAATGGTTAGTTTTACGATGGTTTATTCTCGAATGTCTCTGAGGGAACAACAATGTAGGTGTAGATTGCAAAAAAACACTTATGACACATTTGTATTCTAGTTTACACTTATCTTTATTTGACTTAAGTATGAAGGAAAGCCTGCACGCGCAATCGTGCGCGATTACCTGTTTGTAATTTAAATGTTC